CAGGATGTGTCCCTGTGGCTGTACACAGAGGGAGGAACATCACAAACACTGTGTGCAATACTTTGACAATGACCCCAAAGTGATCATATTATGGCCCCGTCCCATCCTCCCCTAGGTATCAGGGTCTCTTTGCTACCGAAGTTGAAGGAACATTTGTGTTATCCATTTCCCATTGCGGAAGCCGAAAAGCCCTGGAAATAGAAAAGCAGGAACATAAAGCCCAAGGTGTATTTCATCTCAGCATCCGCATTTGTAAAAACCAGGATGTTGCCTCGGTTCAAGTTCTACCGGTGAGAGGTTTCCTGCCTTTGAGAGACTTCTCCCAATTTCCACAGCTGTACCTCCTCCAAAGGTGGCTACACCCCAAGAGCTCTCAGACATTAGCACTGGCGAGTCCTTCTGCACCTCCATGACGCTGCTCTGTCACCCACAGGTCCATCTTGCCATTCCTTTTGCCTTAAGCAGCATCCAACACCGCTACTTGCCCGCATTAGCCCTAGAAGCTGCAAACCCATCTCGCAGGCAGTCTATGAAGCAGTGTGACAAAGACTCCATTCTATCCAGCTTCCAGAGATAACGCTTTATTGATTAAATACCCACAGAGATAAGAGATGCTCAAAAGAGAAGATCTTCTGATCTACATGAAGAATACAGCTAAGTTACAGGTCTTAAAGGTTTAATATAAACCTCAGCATATTCACACTGCCAACTTCCAGTCTAATCCCATGTAAGAAAATCTTCAGGTAAGTATTACCGAAGCAAGATGAAACGCTGCTTGTGTTTTACAACAATTGTGTATTTTAATTGTGTAAGATCAAGGCCACAGGAGACCCTGACTGCACACATGTGCCCGTGGGGAAGGAGCGGCATCAGTTGAAACAGCCTTTGGTGGAACTTTGGGCAGCAAGTAGTTGTACAACAGCACCTTTATTCACGCCAGTGGAACAGCCCATGAGCCGTTTCCTTGGGATCCATACCAAAGTGGAAAAGCAGCCATGTGTTTCATAAGCATCTGGCACCAGTAGCCCATCACTGACCACTCCCAACTGTATTATCTCCCCCAAACACACACACCCCCACCCCCCCATACAACCCAACTTTTTGAGGTCAAAAGCCCCAAGTGCTCAAGTTGCCCATGCCATGGCATGGGCTACTAATGGAGTACGTTTTTACAAGTGAGGAGGACAACAGCAAAACACCTCATTCTTCCAAGATCAAAGATATTTTATATGTTGGGGTTGCTTTTTTTCCAAAATCTTCTTTTAATTTCTTATTATTCAATAAAAGAACCCAGGATACCATTTATGCATTTTAGTTAACAGAAGCAATCAGGGATGAAGCATGGTCTCACTTCCTTCTCCTGTGCATCTGCATTTCCAAAAGAACATGTACTTCACCAAGATACTTACTTCTAGAAAACCTAAGAAGTCTACAACTAACCTCGAAAGTGTGAAGAACAAAGGAGGGGCGAGGTGGTTTGATTTTTGCTGGGTTTATTGTTTGGGTTTTTTTTTAAATTGCTAAAATGAAATTACAACTTCCAAGGAAAAGGCAAAAAACCCCACCTTTGATAACAACTGCGCTAAAAGATACACACTAACCTGCCCTTTAAAGCGAAGTGCTCTGTAGGTGTTACACCAGCTAGAACGTGACTTCTGCCAAGTCTTCTTTTGTAGCACTGCACACTCAAACCAGAAGCCTTTTTCTACAGGCAAAATCCCACCCAAAACAAGTCAGAAAACCACTCGGGTCAAATATTCGTATGAAGTCTGGTTACTTTATTTCTCATCTGTGCAGTCAGTTGAAAGAACAGTTAACAATGAGAACAGACAACCACAGAAGCTTTAGGTACAGTATCATAACACTGAAGAAGCAAATGACCACGCTGAACACATTCTTTATGCTGGTCATTTCCAAACAGAACAGAAGTACATACACAGGTCTAGTTCAGTGTAAAGCCTGATCATAAGCAGCAAGTTGCTCACAAATTGCAGTGCAGTATATGGCATTTACTGCAAATAGCTACAGCAGCAGTGCTTAGTGGATGAACTGCATAGAATTAGCCTCATGGGCAGACACTAAATCACCATGGTAACAACCTTAGTGGCTCCCTAACACACCTGAATTATGCAATTCAGCACAAACGAAATTGTTTACACCACTCAGATTTTAGCAATAGCTTTTGTATTTTTTCCACTGTGTGTTCCAACCTTCATTGCAGTAACTGTCTTCAATTAACTGTCACGTACAACGTAAGTAATCACTGCTTACTCAAAGTTACACCGCCCCTGCAACAAACATGATATGACTACATTTAAAGTAAGAACCCAAAATACATTCGAGAGAATGGCTGTAACAATAAGGCAATAAACAGTTTTAAAAATAGATCCCGCTAAACAGAACAAGACCAACTGCATAACCTCTTGCCTTCCTAAGGTTTCAGACTTGAGTGGGTCAATTCAAAGTTAAGTGCTTACCCACCAGTAACAGAGTTCAGAAATACATTGGTAAAAATATTCAAAGACATGAGTATCTTGGACTGCCAGCAATCACAACCCAGGTCTTATCACAAGTATGCTTCCACACATACAGCTCTGCTTTTACATGTTTGCACGAAGTGCCCTGGACAAAGATCTTACTACAGAATCCTTCAGGAAAAATTATGCATTGACAGAAGACATCAGCATTCCAAAACTCTTCCAAACCACACAATATAAGCCTTTGGCCTGCTACTAATAAGCTCATTAAAGTTATACACTAGGCAGACAGCATTATTGGCAGCTATGCCACAGCAACATTAAAAAAATAGCATCAGCTGTTTAAAAAAAAAAAAAAAAAAAGAGTGAAAATAACTTCAGGGAGTGAAATGTGCACCTACATACAGCCAGGAAGGGCAAGGGAAGTTTTTTGGCTAAAGCAGATGAGCTACCTAGAGGTTCCACATCCATCCTATTTCATATTTGATCAGTGCCAGCAGTCAAACCTGCATGGACTTCTCCTTCATTACCTTGCTCCAGTCTTGATTCTTGCACCTTTAGAGCTACCCTGATTAGCTCTGTATATTGCTGTAACTTCACATTTCTTCCCAGCTACTAGAAGCAGAGACTGAGTTAACTGTTACTTATCTCAGCTGGGGATACTACAAGCATCAGCCTTTTGCCATTCTCCATGCACTAAAGTCTAGGTAGAAATTAAATGAAATGCAGCGGAGTGTCAATACCCTACGTCAGTACAAAAAAACCCCACCTTTATTTGTAAGCCTGTATCAGCAAAGCTCAAGGCAAAGATGCTAAAGAAGTTTCTTAAGAAAAATGTACTCAGTTAGCACTGCTAAACTGAAGTCTCATCATGTGAAGAGACAGACAGACACAAGAACATTGGGACACCAAGTTGTGCAAGGCAAACAACTGAAAGCAGCAGGGAATTAAATCCAATTGCTTTTGCTTAAGAGTTTGAATAAATTGGAATTTTACTAATTTAAAAAAAAAAAACCACATCAGTAGCCATTCCTTTGCCAGCAGACAGGCTAGAGGAAGGAGACTATCAGTGTTTCTACATGTGTTTAAAGGGTATGTGCATAGCACTGCCTAATCACGCTTGAAAACGGAACCCTGTAAGACAAAGCATGCCTACACATACATGCCAGTAAACAAAACAGACTTTTAGACTCCAAAGGAAGGTCGGGTCTGATCTTACATATTTAAATACTGAAACATCCAAATCATTTTACAAAGTGAATGCTCTCATTAGCTTTTGAACAGTATTCACAGGTGACAAATTCAAACATAAAGGCACTAAAAGAGTGCCCTTTTCCCAGATGTGGGCCTACTTGACCAAAAAGCTAAATGTTGCTGCTTTTAGTCATATAATTGAGCCAAACTACAAGCTTAAGCTTCTTAACAGCTGAACAACACCAATTTTGTAGTTCTGTTTAAGTTTTTATACGGGGAACAGCGACCCAAGCACATCCGAGCTCTGAAACTGAAGCTGATCATGACAAAACCGGTTGGTAGCTCCCCCCCATACGGAGATCAGAGGTGGTACATGCACGTTCCTCCGCTTTCCAAATATCTCATGCATCTGTCTTCAGAGCTGCTAGATAAACAGAAGCAGAGCTCTTCATATTGAAGTGCAATGACAAAATAGCTGTATAACTCACTCAAAGAAAACAGGAACAACTGCTTATTACCAGTAAAAATCAGTAAATCCTCCAGCAAACATGAGGTACCAAATTCATTGCCATAACACTGTCCAAGTGTTACAGTGATGTCTACCAAACTGGTCAGAACACCTTAACTGGTTCCAGGAAAGAAGTTACGTCAGGTACCATATACCTGATGTAAAGGTGCACAGAGTGAACTACAGAAGTGCTTAGTATCCAAAAACCACAGCTGACACTTCAGAATACTAAACAGTGATTACATAACCCGGGCACCTTCCCCTCTCCAACACACGGTGGACCGAGAGTAAAAGGTTCAGGAAAAACATACGGAAACCTAGTGGGACTGTTTAATCTGTGACCCTTCTTATGCCAAAACCAAGAAAACAGGTCTTACCACCCGATTCCTTTTTTTGCCCTTTTTTTTCTTTAAAAAAAGAGGAGATAATAAAAACCTCCAAATCATGTGCATCTAATATTGATTTTCCATATTTCATTTATACTTTAATATATATACATAAGAACATAACTAAAATCTTGCTTTAGAATACTTTCTAAAGCAGGATATTCTTTCAACCGTTTTTCAAGTTCACATGCATTCTCAAGGTTGAAGAAAATATATACTCATATATAGCTAAGGAAATAAAACTCAATTTCACTATATGTAGTTACAGTGCTGTAAAGAAAAAATAATTTAGAAACCATTTCAAGTCTGAAATGTTTACTATGTTCAGACTAACGCAAAGGTTAAGCCTATGGTCCAGGACCTGGTTTTAATCTGTGTGCAGAGACAGGAGCTACAGCAGCTCAGCATTTCTCTGATGGAGGTTTCTCTCCACCACTCCTTTCTTCCAGTATCTGACTCACTGCTGAAGCCTTCCCTGAACCTCTACCGAAGTAGCATACAATGGTAGTTCAGAAGTAAAGGTCCACAGGTGTTAATATTACCTCTTAAGTCAGTTTTTCAGCAAAATCAAACCACTGAACACCACAGTGCAGAGGTGCTTAACCATTCATAGCTAGTCAGTAATTCAACGGAGCACTTTAAGTTGTGTCTTCTGTAGGTGCCCTTCGCTGCCGAGCGGATTTCTGTCTACCTCTCTGAGGCGAGGGTGGAGTCTCCTGCTCAGCTTCAGTCTCTGAAGGCTCGTTGTCTCCCTGTTGGGACCCCGTATCACCTATCAATTCTCTCAGGAATTTGAATTTAGACAAAAACAATTGCCAGACCACGTACCAGCCTGCAGGAGAAAGAAAAAAAGGTACTGCTTAGTCACTTCATACAAATTGACAGTCAGCTCTCAGGCAAAGCATACCAGAAAACAGAGAAAAAAATTTATCAGCTCCCATTCTCCAATTGCCAACACAACACACCACCAATTCGACTTGACAGAAGTTCGTCCTCACCCAAAGCAAGCTCTTAAGCTCCAGGCAAGGACTTACACATTTCAAACTGTATCTCCACAGCAAAGGCAGGCGTGGCAAGTGATCAGCATTGCAGAGATAAAGGTCTTAACTGTCAGGAGAAAAGCAATTCCTACGGCTGTACCTTAAACAAGGACTCAGAATCCATTACACAGCACTGTAAAAAGGTAGCACCAGAGTTCCCATCCTCACTCAAACACATCATTCTGAAAATCACGTTTTAAAAGCTGCATTACATAATCACTACTAAGCACACTCCTGGAGATCTTTAAATTAATACCATGTTTTATAATAAATCCTATTTTGAAATGCATACGGTCTTCCTTATGTTCACTTAAAGATCACATCCCCAAATTCAACGTGTTCCCTCACCATGCCCAAATCCTGTTAAACTAAACTTAACATTCCCTGGTAAATTTATATTCTGCTCCACTACTAAAATGCTCTGGGTCCCAAAACTACACAAGTTTATACGGTGACATTTCTAGAATATCTCTTGGAAAATATTTAAGATCCAGCTCCTCCTCTCTCTTGTACAAGTGCTTCTATAACAGGCAGCGAAGGAACTTAAAGCAGATAAAATGTATCTAAACCTAAACCAAAATCTTCCTTTTAAAAGGCCTCCCTTATCTAAGCATTCAGGTCAAGAGAGATCAGAGTTTTACCCAGCTAAGAACTAGCGATACCCCTTTCCCTCCAGCTAACCAGTCAAGTCTCATCATCCATGGAACCGGAACATGGAACTACTCTGTGAAAATAGCAGAAAATTAAACAGCTATTTGAAAGCATATGCTGCATAAGCATCACTTGCAACACCAAAACCCAACTGTCTTGTGTTGAGCTATAAATTAATACTCCCATTCTCTGTTCAGAAGGTCTTGCTAAATATTCAAGCCTACACTGCTGACCTACATAGATATTAAGAACCTTGTTTTACAGAGCTAGGGAAACTCATCCTCCCAATTACACTGCTGTCAGCGGAAACAGACTTCCAAGTGTGGACAAACAGGGGCGTATTCGGGAAGGGGAAGAAAGATTAATAAGTGGCACTTGTGTAACCACAGCACCACTACTTTTCTTCCTCTTTGGCAATCAAAGTCACGCCAATACAAGCAGGCCATTGCTCAGGATAAAACAAGTTCCCACCCTTCCCCTTCCTCCTGGAATACTTTTCACATCCTGCCGACTTAATTTCCATAACTTCTCTGCTGCTGAGGAGCGTTGGATGAAAGCTTTTATATGACTACCTTTTACAACCTAAATTAATTCCTAAAGCCTACGGCAAGTACTTTCTCCTCCATTAGTACCTAAACCTTTCAATGACTTGGGATTAAATTGTGTGATGTCCCACAAATGCATTAAAGCTCCTTGGACCTAGAAAAAAAACCTCAATGGCAGGTGTCTGGTTTTGGCATCTTTGTTCTTTCAGATCTACAAGTAAAAATTCCAGTAGCAACTTTTGGAAAGCTCTTTCCATGGAGGGGTATTTCAAGTCTCTGGGACCTTCAAACGCTTTGTGCAGTCTAAAGACCATAAATCAATCCATTCTTCTCATGGGTCTAAACATCATTAGAAGTAATCAAATTTCCAAAAGCCATGCTCATTTCTAGTCCACATGGCAAAGAAAATGTATAAAATATTCCAAGTGAATATAGGACGCTTGCAAGAAAGTGAGACCTAAGCAGAATATTACAAGCCATTTAAAATTGTCTTCAGCTCCCCAATTTGTTGACAAAATTTGACACACTAGACTTAACAGTGCATGAAAAGCATGCACTACATTCTATTAAATCCACTTAAGCATATGGGGGGGAACTCTCAGCCACAAATTGGTCAGGGCTTATTATTATCATCATCTGTTCGGGCTTTTGTTTGGTTGTTTAAAATCGTACCTAAAACACCTGCAAAGTGAATGACTGAAACAGACACATTACTTCGGTGGGAGGGAGGAAGAGCCAACAACATTCAGGGCCTTCCCAAAAGAGTTATAGAGTACTTCAGAGAAGCATGACTTGAATATATTTGGTAGAAATAAATACCTCATTAAGGGAGGTGTTTTAACTTAACTAGATAAAGCAGCCACATGCTCCTCTGTCATTGCAAACGAGCCACTTAACTCACAGAATTACTGTTGTGAGGGGGGAGAAATACTAAAGAACATTCACAATTCATTCTCAGACGCTCAAAAGCAGCAGCATTATTTTTTCCCCAGTGCTTTGTTTGAGTTAGAGCACAGTGGTCCAAGTAACCAAAATACCAAGTACCATAAACAGACTTTAGAGCTCTCTAGCTCAAGACTACAAACAAGACAGTGTAAATAATCAGCCAACAAGACTGGTTATAGCTGACAAACAACCAGACCAATGACAATAGCCAGGTAAAACAAACCACAATGCAGTGCACTGAAAAGAAAAATCACAACAGTCTTGGCCAATGGTAACAGCAGGAGGGCATCCAGGCTTGAAAACTAGAGTTTCAAAACCTCACAAGATTTCCCAGCCTGTACCAGAGACATTTAGGTATAAGGTAATCAAAGTAGACAGATTTCTTTCTTTTACTTGCTCTAGTTGCAGTGCTAGCTTGGAAGAAAATTTAAAAAAAAAAAATCCTAAACCAAACACACTTGTCCAAATCAAGTTAAGGCCACCTCTTCAGCTGAGACTCACTGTTACTAAACACTTAAATAAGAATTATTGGAAATAACCAGACTACTAAAGAACAAGGTATTCTAGGTAAGAGAAACTCTCTCCAGCAACAGTATCAACTAAATACGCCATTAAACAAAACCACACAGACGGACAAAGCCCAGAGGCAGATTCCAGTACCGAATTACTGCTGAATCAAAAGCCAATGCGTTTTCTATTCATTCTGCAGCCTCTTAAGAGCATTGCAAAGTGGTAACACCCAACACCACACCATACTGAAGAACTGCAAGTTACATAATAGCATATTTTTAAAGAAGAAAATAATTGTAAAGTAATCCAAAATGCACAAGAAAGAAAAATGGACATTTCTGTGCATCCTTGTCTTTATGCAGCTCAGTTCAGCTTTGCAGCTCTTTTGCCGTGAGCTCTTCCTGGCAGGTGACTGACACCACCGCTTTGCATCTCAAATGCTTCCACTTTGTTCAGATAACCTGCTCTCAAAGAAATCCTACTGGTTTAACTTCACCACACACAAAATATTTGATTTGAATCAGTCTTTCAGTGCTTGCTTTATTTTCTTTAGCTATTTGTTCAAATCCTCCTTAGCTTGACAGAATCTGTGGAAGTCAAACAGCATACCCACAGTACATCTTCAGCAAACAAGCAGCGATGACCTGCAGACCATAATATATAATATTCTACATTAATTGGTGAAAGTAGTAAGCCAGATCCAACAGCACATCATCGCAATGCAAAGCCGGGGCTCCAGCTCTTGGTGCAGCAGACACCTGAATCCAGAGATAGTCAGGAAATCCCATCTACCAGAGTGCATTTTGCATTTAGGCCAAGCAGCAGCTCCCGGCCTCGCAGACTTTAGTACTCACTAAAAGCTGGGAGCCGCTGTCTCACTCAGAATGCCCCAGTCAGGTGCCATTCACAGCTGTTTAAGCCACATTCGGCATTGTGCCACCAGCACTGTCAACCCCTCTTACAAATCATGATGCAACATGTTTGTGAAGATGGGACCGTGAGTCAAAGCCTTTTTTACTGACTCGTACCAAGATTTATGTAACATCTATATAGCAACATCAGGATGTTATTAAACAGATTTCATGATCTGCTATGCTTCGTTAAAGCTACCTTTTCTGTTACTTTCCACACCAGCTTCTTTGTAAAGGGGAATGAAAAAGTGATCTGACTCCAACGTTACTCCCCCTCAAAAGGTGAGGGGTACAAGTCTAAGGTCCGTGGACTCCATTCACCTTAGACTGGCTTGTACACAAAACCTAAGGGAGGGTTTTCTTTATTGGAGTACATTTTCCTCTTTCATTTGAATCAGCAAGAGCAAACAAAAAAAAAAAACCCAGGGCTAATACTGGGTGCCGGGGTAAAGCAAGTCGATTTTTCTTATGTAAACACAAATGAACCCAAGAAAGGAAGGAAGGTGATGCAGGAATGGCACCAGACAGAGTCTGAAGATCTGGCTTCTATTTCTGACCTTGCTATGGACTTCCTGCACAGTCCTGCAAGATCGTTTTATCTCTGTGTCCCTACCGATTTGAAAACAGGATGCTATTACTCCAGCACATGAAGACTAATTTAGAACTGGGGTATCACCAAGGTGAACGTTGCCTGTATTCAAATGCTGAAGCGTTCATCACAGAAAATCTTAAGCAGCTATAGCTGAAAAAAAGGAGCTTAGAGCTCTAGATGCTAACCTGAGATTTGGGAGAACAAGGTTCTACTGTGAGCTCTGCGTCTGTGGTCACAGAAGACAACTGATGAGTCATTTTAATGCTGTGCCATTTTTAAGATGTAGCTAATGTGCTGCCCTAGTGGATAGCTTTGCTATGGAGAAGATCAGACCAAAGGAAGCATAGGCTACTGTGATACTGGGGTAACAGAAGACATCAGGTGACGTGGTGCGTGTTTCCACATGGCTCCTTCAACCTGGTCCTGTTTAATGCAACACTCTACTGCATGCTGCCTGCTGACTGATTGCGAAGAAACTCGCTCTCTTCTGACCTGCCATTTGTAACAGTTTCAGAACTTAACTTCAAATTAAAGGGTATTTTCTCTTTATCGCGGGTCTAGTCAAGCATGATTTTCCTCATCTTTTGAGGTATTTTACAAGCTTCACTCGTTTACAACAGCTACACAACTGTTTAAACAAAGCATTAAAGAAAAGTTATTCAGGTAGAATGCAGGGCTCAAATGTTTTCCCACCTGCAACTGAATTCAGACTTGTGAAGCAAACCACATTTGTTTCAGCACTTTGAGTTACAGGATTTTTGTTCTAAGATCAAGTCTCAAACCATATCTCATTAGCCTCTCCTGCCAAACGAGATGAACGCTTCCATCTGTTCCACTGAAGGCACTTTGGCAGTTTCACACGGCTCCATGCGTTACTACATTGGGAAAATAAAACAAATACACAGAGGTAAGCAGTACTGGAGTTCACTTTGGCTGGGATTTTATCTTACCCTGTATCCTTGACTATGCAGAAGTTCCATCTGCAGAGGAACATGGAATACAGAAAAATAGCAATAAGACCACACGAGAAAATAAATCAGAAAAGGTGGGAATAAAAAAAAGTGGAAGCAAGTTACCTTAGAAGAGCAACTGAAAAACTGCTATGTCTACAGTCCCTCAGTGGTTTCTATGTCAGATGTGATCAGTTTAACAAATAGAGACGTTGCTAGCTGCAAGCCTTCCCTGCTTCCTAACAAATTCAGATTAACGGTGAAAGTAGCAGTTGCAAGCATCCAGAAATGCTTAAAAGAAAAATAAATCAGGTCATTTATTCAAAGTACTTTTATAAACATAAATGCTTAATTCAGGAATAAGCCATGCGCTTTCCACATGGTTGAAGAACTAGTCCAAATAACTTCTGATAGTTTGTGCTTTCAATTTTGTCTTTTCACTTTAGAAAGTGATAAAATTATTTTTTCCCCATTATTTAAGTTTTAATAGCACTTATCACATCATATTTGTGGCAAGCAGCAGAAAGCCACATGATTCTAGGATGTCTCCTGGATATTTAGGTCTATTGTTCTCCGCAAGCACTCAAACCACGAGTCCTTCTGTACAATACAGAACTCTAAAACTGCTAAGTATTTATAAGCCACTTAAAGTCATTTATGAATTACTTTTACTCTCTTTAAGCAAGAAAGCACTAGAGAGATGTTTAAGTTAGCAGGAAAAGTTAAAGAGATCCTTAGCATTTCAACTCCATTCGTCACATACAGACAGAAGCAGAAAGGCCTGGAGAAAACTAACCTCGTTTCTGATTTTGAACAGCACATTGCAAAACAGTTTTAATTTTCAGCAAGAAAGTAAGCAAAGATCTCACATACATAGTCTGAAAACATAAAAACCCCTAGCAAGTACCATGTTTCATTTTTCAGAAAATGAAAAGTGGCCAAACACCATGAAATGAGCATACAGAAACCTGAAGAAACACCCACTTAAGTCATCATTTAGTCTGTAACAGTGGACACTACAGGATGCACAGAAAAAGAGCACAGGACCAGGGAAAGTATACAAGGTGTACCCTCATACACGCTTGCAGTCCCAGTTATCTGTATTTCAGACGTTTCCTCACCTTATATAGTACTACTACTATGCCTTAGAGATGTGAACCTTTCTTCCGTGAGCTTTAAACTATAAAAGTTTCAGCATCCAAAATATTCTTTGCTAATGAGTTTGCAATTTATTTCCCCATTGCGTAAAAGAAAACTTTTGGGTTTAAGACTGTTGCTTGATCATTTCACTTTATGTACTCCAATTGCTCCGTAATGATGAAATTTCACAACCATTCCCAGTTCACCTTTTTCACTCTACTCAGTTTTATCACCCTTCCTCCAGCCATCTATTTTTCAGGCTAGACAGTTTCTTCATGAAGAAATCGTTATATGCTCTCACCATCCTACTTTTTTTTTTTAAAAAAAAAAAAACCTAGGATAATTTTATTTTTAAATAAGGTAACACACTTCAACAAGAAAATACACTGTTTGAGAGACAGGCCCACAGTAGATTCCTGTAGCAACATAATGACAGTCTGTTTTACTTGCCTATTTGCTTGCTACAAAGCATTAAACAGATATTCTGGAGAAATACTTGCAATTACTTCAGCTAATCCTTTCTTTGGGATACCAACAGCTCAGTTTGAAGCCATTGTATTTCCCCACGTAAATTACGCGTGCAGACATTTCACACTTTTTATGTGCATTACTCCATACATGTTAATACTGGGTTTCACCTCCCATTTCACTATCCAGTCCCTTGAGATTGCAAAATCTTGTCACAATGCTTTGCCATTTTGACAACAAATAACAATTTTTTTTTAAGTACTAAATGTCAGCTGACTCTTCACTTCGCTGCCTTTGTTTTCAAAAATCATTTATAGATCCACCTATCATTTGCTTTTTATCTCACAAGCCTTTCAACACAGGCTATAGCAGAGTTTGAGTTTGGTGGTGGCGTTTTTTGGGTTGGTTTGTTTTTTTTTTTTTCAGACCTCCAAGTTCAACATATAGATCACAACCCCCACAGGCACTACACTGCTGGTTCTTTCCAGGAACTTGCAACAGACCTGCAAGTCGTGCCTCCCATTGAAACAACCCTTCTCTCTGAGTTACAAAAAAATGCAAGTCTTGGATCTGCATAAGAAAAAAAAAAAACCTCCCAAGAGCTGCTCTCAATCTGTTCTAGCGAACAGATGTCAGAAGCTGAGCGGTACCAGTAGGACGTTCGCTTCTTCCATTCACTGGCATTTCAGACCTGTGCACAAGCTGCACTGTGATTGCTCAGTAGTCCGTTCACTAGAAAAGCTGTCAGCTTCAGATTAGTCATTGAATTAAGCTCTGGAAGCATTTCAAGGCTCGAAGTTATTTGGAAACAAAGAGAAGGGGGCGCTGTGAATCACACGCGCTCCCCGACACCCCGGGGCATGGTGCCCTTCCATTTCCTTCAGTCAATTCGAGAAAAGAGGAACCACAGGAGATTGAGAAAACGGGGAGAGGGTGAGGGTTGGCACCCACGAGCACTGCACACCGAGGCCAGGCCAGCCCTCCCGCACCTCCTCACCCCCCACCCAGGGGAACGGGGGGACTCACCGCACAGCATGAAGAGCAGCACGCAGGCCAGGGTGGCCACAATCACCAGCAAGGTCAGCCCGATGCTCTGCCACATGGC